CAGCAGTTGAGGCTATTTGTTCCCCATAACATTAAGATTTTCATCAGAAACAAGCTGTTTCTTAAATACAAGGTGTGATCAAACAATACAATCAATGTTTAAATTAAAAAAAATTATTACAGTAAAAGAAATATTGCCATTAATTCCCCTCAAAATACTCTGCCTTGCTTTGAACACACTTATCCCATCGTTCTTGCCACTTTCTGAAGCAGTTCTGGAAGTCCTCTTTTATGAGTGTCTTTAGTTGTGCTGTCGTGGCTGCCTGGATGTCCTGAATCAATTCAAAACATTTACCTTTCATGGTCATTTTGACTTTGGGAAAGAGCCAGAAATCGCACGACGCCAGGACCTGTGAATAAGGCAGACAAGGACACACCGTAATGTTTTTATTTCACAGAAACTGCCGTTCCAGAAGTGATGTGTGACACGGAGCCTTTCCGTAGTGATCACAAAATACAGTGACTGCAGCTACTAAGTGCCATCCAACAGAAAGGCAGGGATCTTCAATATGGGAAGCAGCGCATCAAACCTTAGTAAGTGTGTGACAAGTTTCAACTTGTTCAGTGCAGTCAGTCGGATGTGAGCTACAGTTGAGAGAAAGTGTGTTTTAAAGCGTGTCATAAATCATTCTCCATCATGACAATGCTCTGTGTCACACATTACTTCTAGTACAGCAATTTCTGTCAAATAAAAACAGTAGGGTGTGTCCTCATCCACTTTATTCACTGGATCTGGCACCATGTGACTTCTGGCTCTTCCCCAAAGTCAAAATGATTCAGGACATACAGGCAGCCACAACAGCACAACTAAAGACACTCACGAAAGAGGACTTCCAGAACTGCTTCAGAAAGTGGCAAGAAAGATAGGATAGGCGTGTTTGAAGTAAGGGGGAGTATTTTGAGGGGGATTAATGGCAATGTGTCTTTACTACAACAATTTTTTTGTTTAAACATTCACCATATTGTTTGATCACATCTCCTATATATTTTCTATTTCTCTTTTCCTCCACTCTCAATTTCCATATTTCTTTCTTTTGCTACTCTCCTTTTACTTTATATCTTTAGATTTTTCCTTGAACTCTTCTATAATAAAGAACTGGAATACATTTTCATTGTACTTATTGATATGCTTATTCAAGAGTTTTGTTATTCTTAATTTTAAAAGTAGATAAATAGAATAACTGGTATATTCTTTCTAAAATATAATAAACACTTCTCATTTTAAAAAAAAGGTAATTAGAGTTCTTCACTTTGCACCATAATGTTTCCTGGAATGTTTTTAAATGTATACATAAAATTTTTAAAACATATAGGATTAGAAAAAAATCCAATTACAATGAAATACAATTCAATATCATTTAAAACTAATATTTTAAAAACTAAATTATTAGGAATACATGGATGTGGATTCCAGTCAAGAACCTCAATTTAAAAAACCTTCAAAAAACAAAAGTTGAAATACGTATCTAACAACACAGACTATTATATGACAATAACCCTACAAGGTAAGTACTGCTGTCATCATGATTTATACCTCAGAAGCTTGAAGAAGCTAAGAAGGTACCCAAGGTTACACAGCTACCAAGTGGCAGAGCTGAGTCGTGAACCTTTCTTCAACGTCCAGGTTTCTAAACATTTAACCCTTCTCCTCACCACGGGCGCCATTCAGAATTCAGGACTTTCCTCAATGCATTCCAACCAAAATGGTTTCTCTAACTCTGAATCTTTTCCTATCCATTCCAACCTTCACTGACACCCCACTGCCCACATCACTGAATCTAGGTTCTTGAATCAGGAATTCAAGACCCTCAGCCAGTCACATATCTCTTAACCAAAGAACCAGAGAAAACATAAGGCCTGCATTCCGCTGCTACACCAGCTATTCTTCTGCCACTTCCATTCCCCATTAATGTCATCCGTTCTTACTAAAATGCCTTGTGCTGTCTACTACTGCCACCTATTTAAATTCTATTCATCTTGTCAGGCATAGTTCAAATAATATAATCTCAGTGAAGCCTTCCATCTCCAGCCAGAAGTGATCTTTGCTCCCTCTGCATTCCTATCACTCCACAGTTATAGCAAGACGTTTATTAAACATGTCCATGAAATACAATTATTTGCATCACAGAATTTTTTTCTCGATTCCTCATGCTCATCTCGCCACCAAACCTATGCTGTATTCACCACCTAGAACATTCTTTTCACTTATTTTCCCTCGGCTAACTCCTACTTTTCATTCAAGACTCAGTTGAGAGGAAACTTCCCCTAGAAAGCCTTCCTTCACTGCCCCACCCCCGCCCTGGACCAAGGGTCTGCCATGGCTGTGGCCTCAGCACAGCCCAGAGGCCGCTTTTCTCACTAGATTCTCATCTCACCAGACTCGGTTTATTGTATTCCTGGTTGCATTTCCATACCTAGCATCGTGCCTGGCATGTAGGTGGGACATTTTTAAATGAAGTTACAATTAAATTTTCCTTATTATCCTGTCTGACTAATCCTGAGACAAGTTTCAAAGTACAGGACTTTGCGTTTAGTTAATTAAATACCTGTTGGATGAAATGATTCTTGTGGGAAATGGCCTCGTTAATTATCGTACGTCTTCAAACAATATGGATTGAAGTACAAAATAGAATATGAATATTTGATAATGTGTATATTATAGAGTAAAAAAGGACAAATACTTTAAATGCATTTGAATACATGTGTTAAAACTTACAACTGAATCAAATGATTTGAAGTATTACAAATCATTTTAATTTATCATTGTCATTTACAGCTACCTGCATTCCTCAATTATTATTTATCTGTACTATAAAGCTCTAAACTCCAACTTACCTAGGCTCTTTATCATCGAGGTCCATTCTCAGTACTGTTTCAATGTACCAATTGTTGTTCATAAGCAAACTCATTTTCACCATTTTAAAGGCTTCACTCTCCCACCTTTTTCTACAATCTATAAAATTGCCTATCTCTTCTTCCTTTAAAATATTAATCATAGTTCATTTCTTCCTTGATGTCTTTCTTCATTCAGAAAAGCCTAGCTCAGGATTAGCTTTAATTCACTTATTCATTCATCCATGAGCTTATTTATTCATGAGCACTCATTCATTCATTCCTGAGCTCCTCTTTCATGGCAAACTTTGTACACAGATTAGATTCTAAATGTTCATCAGCTAAATAGATTCATGTAACCTTAAATATTCCCATCTCCCAAACACTCCAAGCACCAGCACTGTACAGGTCTATGTTAGGGGTTATATGAATTTCAGGGAGGAGTGTATCTTGATAAGGGCCTGATAAGCCTCTTCGGAGCATTCATAATTATTGATAAGAAGACGCTGGAAACAAGGTTAGAAAAAAAAAAAGGACAAACTCAGAAAAATATTTGCATTTTATGGGAATCAAAGGATTCATCATCTCTCTAAAACAAATTTTTAAAAAGAACAGTCCAGTAGTAAAAGGTGCAAAGGCTATATAAACAGGCAATCCACAGAATACAAGTGGCCCTAACAAACACAGTGTACTTGATTTCACTAGTTAAAGAATTACACATTTAAATAATAAAATGATATTCTTATGTTTTATACAGATGAAAAATAAGAGCTCTCACAATCAGAGTTGACAAGGGCACACCTTGCTGTAAGAATATTAACTAGAATAGCTTTTCAGGAAAGTAATCTGGCAAGACAAGTAAAAATAAGTAATATGCATGTTTTGACCCAGGTATTCTACTTCTATCAATATTATCCTAGGAAAACAAAGAGATGTATGTATAAGATGTACGAATACATCTTATATGTAGATGTATGTGTAGAGTTTCACTGCAGAATTATCATAGTAAAAACAATATGAAAAAACTACAAATCTGCTAATAAGGGATACATCGAATGTATCTAGTCATTTGGGATACTGGGTAGCAGCTAAAAGAGACATGGTAGAATTTTATGTGCTGCCATGCAATAATACATTATTACAACAAACAAAAACATACTACAGAATAACCTGAATATATTGAAACATTTCATATTAGAATCAACCCAGTTACATTAGTACATGGATAACAGTGAATCTGCTCTAGATTATTTTTCCCAAATGTGTCAAGACTGCAGTTGAGAATTTGTGCCTCAAATAATCCTATCAAGCTCCTCCAGCAGTAAAACTGTTTAATTCTCAGAGCTTTGTACAGCATAGACCTTGGACACTGTTTTATCACAAGGCCCCAATGGGTCTCCTCTCTGTTTAAGTGCCCTTTATCAAAATGCAGCATGAAAATGCTAACAAGTGTCCAGAATTTTAAATCTACATTGCAAAATTAAAGGTGTTAACAGTATACCTTTGATTATCAATGACAATTCATGTTGAATATGTTCATTTTACAGAAATCACAAATTATAACTATCTCTTACCTCAATAATAATGCGAGGACCATTATATCTTGAAAATACTACGAAAGATAATAAATCCTTCGAACATTTAAAGAGATAAATAACACTAAACTTCGCTTATATGGTACTGTTAATCAAAAATGCTGACTGTCAATCAAATCCCATTAGAGGGAATCACAGACAGCAACAGGGCCTCTTTGCTGTGGGCAGGGCTGAGATGTGTAGTCAGAACACCTGGGGATAAAAACCTGTTCTTTGGGCTCCAAAATCCCAAGCAAATCAAATAACTTATCTGAGCCTCATTTGTAAAATGAAAAAAATAATAATATAAGTATTATATTTATAACACATAAAAGGCGCCTATTACAGTGCCTGGGACAAAATTCATTCTCAATTACTTGTCTAATAGAGTTACATCATTGTTACTTTTGTTAAGGTATCTAGTTTGTTCCCCTGAATTTTTGTAACACTGCATGCATAACCGTTTCATTTTTATGCTACATGTTAGAAAGGGGTGTCTTGCCCCAAAAAAAGCCTTATTTGTTGACATATTGTTTTCCACTATAAATATGCACAAATTTGTTATCCCAGAAACTCAGGAAGAAAGCATACTTACAAAGCACACCCCCAAAACTCCGTGTTGCTCTCCACTGAGCTCAGTGCTCTTCTTAGGCACATATGTCTGCCTCCTATCATTTCTTCATGAGGTTCAGGGCAAAAGGACTAGCCAAGGAGATGATCTTTGGTTGCCCCTACACTTTCCCCAAACCACCTACAGATAAATGAAACAAGGGTAAAGCACACCTACAACCTCAATGTTTTTTAAATAATAAAAGATGAAAATAAGCTCCCCCTCACTATGTACAGTTTACAGCATATCAGAGAACAGAGAAAATGATTCTTGGGTCATGCAAAAGCCCCACTGAACTCAAAGGAATTCTTCACCTCCAAGTGCCCAGCCAATATACTCCTCATTGGTGACTACTGCCCATGCCTGGTCATCCCTTGGGCTCTCTAGACCACACAGTGTGAATTGTAGCCCCAGTCTAGCCAACAGTACCCTTCCTCAGCATGTCTATCAGTGGGTAAAGTAGCTAAAGCAGGTAATGAAATTAACATGTTACTTCTGAATTTAATGACCCAATTGAATTTCTAAGCCAGTTAATTAACTATATACTAGCACTCCTAAAGAAAGTGTTTTATAAGCTGCCCAGTTCTTCCTACATTCAGTATTGCAATGAATAAATAAATGTAAAATGACTTTGCTCGTAATAAAGAGCTGTGGACAGAAATATTTTCAATTCTTTGTGACTGTTTTCAAAGCAGTCTGTGAGAATCCACAGAAAGTTATCCAGAGAAGTGGTAGTCATCCACATATAAAGTAGGCCTGGGGGCCGGCGGAGCGGTGCGTTGATTAAGAGCTGGCTTGGGACGCCGGAGGACCCCGGTTCGGATCCCACATATGCGGGCCAGTGACACTGCCCTCTACAGCTGAGATGCTG